CTTTCAAAATGCTCCTATGTTTTAGATTAACGCCTCTCGACCGTATTACATAATCCCTTCTTCTCAAAAGGGTTCGACAGTTGTATTGGATGATAGATAACTAAGTTTACCCTTTCAAATTTCTTCAATCCTTGACCTTTCTTTACTCATCTATAGATGGCTATTGCAAAAGCGAAATTCGAAATTTGTTGCTTAAAGAGGACGCTTATTCTTGTTCTTCTAACCCGTTTCCTCACTATTTTCTTCCTGGATGAAATGCATCCGTTTGGCATCTTCTCCATGTGTATACATCCATGCCTGCGTAACCCCGGTTCGAAACTGCACAAAGCAAAGGAATATATATTTTTCACTAAACTAGTTGCCATAAAACATTCTTATCGTATTGGACCCAAGCTGCCTCAAGGTCCGGGCTCTACACTAACTTTTCAACTTACTAGCCAAGTGGCTAGTGACATCTTAGATCTTATGACAATTTCAGTTTATTTACTAACCAAACTGGCCAGTGGAAATCGAAAACCACTAAATTTATACTAGTCTGTGGCTAGTGGGCTACCGTAAGTGTCGAGCCCTTCTAAAGGTCCTAAGTGTCTTAGATTGATATAGGTTACGAATCGAAAATCCTTCAAGAAAACTTATTTCCCGTCTACGTCAGGTTACTGACGCAAAGGGGTTGGACGCTTTGTGCCTCGAGATACCTAAACAATGGATCCGATAACTAACAAATCCACGCAGGAATATGCAGCACGAGTCGAGACGTGGAGATCCACGCTGGAAGTCACTACTGAGTGAGAGAAACGATTAATCAAACTTAATTTTCAAGATTTTTGTCACGATGACTAACCCTAACCTTTTCTGCGATATGAACTTTCCATACATACATTTTCTTTTCAGTGAATGCGTCGAACTCTGGAATTGACTACGCTACGAGTGCGTCTACCGTAAGCACGAGGATGTCGCCCTTAATCATCGATGCGTTTGATCTACGTTTCCATTTTTCAAGAACAAGACAATTACAACGAGCTATTTTTGACTAAAGAGTTGGCGAGGTAGAATACACACGCTGAGAAATTTAATAGCTTTCCAAATAATCTTGATGCAACAGAATTAACCGAGTGAGACAGAAACGTCAAGGGTCAGTTTTTTTCATTATTTTTGTTTGTTTTTCACTATTAGATGTAATATCAGATACTTAGTATCATGATACGCATGACGAGCTTTGCTCAAGAAAAAAATTCTCAGCAGGCATCGTAAACTGATGCCCAGGTTTGGGGAAGAAGGCGTTGGCTGGATGTCATCACATTAATTACACCACAATGTAATTACACAGATTAGCGCCCACGAATCCACGAGAGATACGCGATTGCGTGCGAGTTAACGCGGGGTCATCTGTTGGCAATGAAAATCAAAATCATGAAATGAAATGAAGTTTGCTGTGCGCGTAATGGTCATAAAATACTGCGTTTTCTCTGTTTCTGCCTGTTTCCTTATAACGACATTTCTAATCATTAAAGTCAGCTGAACAAAGAGTTTCCAGCAATCTGATTGGTCGAGCGGTTCCTTATATGACGCTATATAAACCGCGCTCCGTACGGTTTATATAAAATGTTAAACTAAAATGTTAATAAATGTTACTAAAATGTTATGATTTTTGAAATTTCTCTGTTGTTCAGCTCTGAAATTATACTAAAGCAATTATTCACCTCAGGTTCGGTGAATATTGTTGAATAATCCCCTCGACTTCGTCTCGGGGATTATTCGACGATATTCACCTCGCCTTCGGCGAATAATTGTTAAATACAGATGGAAGATGTAATTTAAAAACCCTATTGCTGGAAAATTTGATCGTCACTTGACAACATTCAGCCGTTCGCCCACTTTAAAGTGACTTAAAGGGGAAATTTAACGCATTATTTCAGACAAAGCTATCCTAAATTACGTCAGAGGTCTCACAACTGCAGTTTCAGTTTCATTCTCTCTGACCTTTCTCAAGGTGACGTTAGTGACGCAAATAATCGGGAAATTTTCCTTCGATAAATTAAATATTTTATCATGTCTAACGAGTTTTAGCCTAGAGAAAAATTACATTTTCAAAGTAAGAAAATTATTAAGTATTACACTAGACCTTTTTTGGACAACCTCTTTTTAAGTATGCGGACATCTACCTAGACTGCATTACTGGCTTCGATCTAATATCGTTAGATCGACAAGAGGGGAGCGTTTCTAACAATCGCTCATGCTCTGAGTCTCCAAAATTATGAGCAGACTTCGAAAGAAAAAAGTTCATTAACGATGTGCTCTGTTGTGAACTAGTTTCGTTATTCATTTTAACTAACTATCGAAATAAAAGAATACTAGTTAGCTACATTTTGCAGAAGTGCCCGGCAGAGACAACGTGCTCATAGATTCTGCCTTTCAAATTGCCAGTGGGACATTTGAATATTGTGCTCCGCAGAATGACGCTGCCATGCACATGCCAAATTTAATTCAACCGAAAATCCAGAGGTGTTCCGCCATTTATGCTTGCTCAGAAGCCTGTTCAACTAATGCTTGCTCAGCCATACAAATTATAATTATCTTAACTGAATACAAAACAAAAGATTGCCGACAGATCAAGCTGCCAAAAGAAAATTAATGAGACTAATTGTTTTGTCTTTAATTATAAAGCCCGTGGTAAAAGGCATATTTACAGACTTCTCAAGGTTTTTGTAGCAAGTTAAGTAAACAAAGAAGATGCATGAGAAAACGAAAAGGCAAAGTTGATAATCCAAGCCTGATCTAGGCAATATTTTGCCAGCGTGAGTGGAAGAAATGTAAAATGACCAACCGAATGGTAAGTATAATCAAATGCAGGTCTGTTTTAAGTAGTCAAAAGTTAACTAGGCAGGTGCTTCGTAAACATAATTTGAAACGCCATCAGCATAACCGGATATTTCCTCGTTAGAATGCGAGGACTGCACTAAGTTGAATTCTAAAACGGGCGTATTCGGTATAAATCCCGCAAATTCCGTACAAATCAAATATAGCAGTTGCATAATGATTGACATATTTAGAGGTTTTGTGTGTGTATTAACGATCATTATTATCCAAGTACACCAAGACGAGTACGAATAACACCATAGACGAGTACAAATATCACGCGGTATTTGTACTCGTCTATTGTAGTACCGGTTAAACTGGTTTTCTCCAGTCCAGTCCAGTCCACGGAATACCATATGCCAGACGAGTACGAATAACGCCATAGACGAGTACAAATATCACTCGGTATTTGTACTCGTCTGTTGTAGTACCGGTTAAGCAGGTTCTCTCGCATCGCGCAAGCGAAGAATCGGATTGTAGTTGCGGAAAAAAAAAAAAGTGGCGGACAATTTCAATCATATTTCCGACGACGAAGAGTCAGAATGGCTGGCAAATATAGATCCAAGTTCATTTGATGAAACGAACGAAGAAAAACAGCTTGACGACCAGAAAATTTCTTCATTTAATGAAGAAAATAGAAACAGCAACACAACAACGCGTCAATTCCGTTCCGCTTCGCATACTTCTGTCACGCACTCCCGTAAATAAATATCCGCGAAATTCGCCCGCAGAAACAACAGTTTGGCGTGTTGGATAATAAATAACTTATTAGACGTTTTGTTGTGTAGTATCGCTGAGTATTTTTACTCGTTATTTGTATTTTGACTCGCCCTACGGGCTCGTCAAAATACGACACAACTCGTAAAAATACTCAGCGATACTACACAACAAAACGTCTAATAAGATATATATATT